GTCCCGTTTCAATTTCTTCGACTTCTCCTTACCCTCGTGACTCGATGAATTATATATATGTGGATCGAATTTATTTGCCTTGCAACTTGGCGAAAATTGGAAATAATTCTCAAACGAGGGCCGTAGATTTATTCCTACTTCGCATCGTAATTATAGTCACTGAACAGAGAAATAGACCTCTGAGTATTTTATATATATTTCTGCGACAAGTCCAGTTACTCTGTGCAAAGTTCGAGACACAGTTTGACACGATATTGAAACTTAGCTGACTCGAGTGAAACCACTCTACCTTCCGAAATTGACCGAAATTTTCGAACGTGTCTGAGCTTCGTAATAACCTTCGGAAGAACGCTTCGTAGAAATTAGTTGGCTGGCGGAATAGAATAAGGGGCGCAGAAGTATAATCGGCGATAGTGGTCGAAGAAGAGGCACAGACGTGTCCTTTCGGGAAAGACTCGTCAGTGCCGAAAGAGAGCCACGCGTAGTTTCCCTAATTGCGAATTATATTCCGGCGAATTCACGACTGCGTACGCCACGGCGAGTGATGGGAACACAGGGCCGGGAATACAGGGACTTTTCGGAGTAATTTGTATTCCACATTTCACGTTGAACTGCACGAGGGGTGACGAGTGCTTCTTCTCCGTATCCTCGGGTCCTTCGTCTCTCTTACTTTCCTCCTCTCGGCTCGGCGTGTGTTCACACACACGGCCTGTTCTCGCCCGACGCGCGGTCGGAGAGAGACTTACAGCCTGCGCCGGTATATAAACGGCGGCCAGGGAGTAACGTCTGATTATGCGAACGCATGGCTGGTCGTAACGCGATTTAATATTAAAATATTATGACAAACGTCAACAGGAGGCGGGTGTAAAGAGACGCGTCTCTGATTGGCCGTCGACGTGAATACGAAACGAGAGACGGGGACACCTTCCGCCAGCCCTTGTTTTGTATCCCTTGATGTCGCTGTTCCATTTTCACCAGCGGCAGAAACCACTTTCAGCGTTTCGATAAATTCTCTCGGATTTTAGTCGATTATTATTAGACTAGGCAGACGAGTATGTAAATCCGTTCTTTCCTTCGCTTCTCTCAAATATCTTTTTCCGAGTCTCAAACATTCTCAAATATTTTCCTCCGTAACGACGGTGAGAATTGGTTATAGAAATTGAAAGTTGTTCAGCGATCATATTGCAGACGAAAGGAGTGAAATCTTGTCGAATTCTCTGCATTCAGACAGAAATTCCCTTTCATCATTTCCATCTTTCGCGGTTAGGAATTAAGTAACACTGGGGATGTTTTACTTGAAGGAATAACTGAACTTATGAACCCTTTGATTACAGAGAAATTTCTTTCACGTTCTACTTCATTCTCTCCATTCTCTGATAATTGGTCTAAGACATCGTTCTAACGAATCGTCGAACAACTTCCGTCCCGACGAATGCAACAGGGGAAAGAGAGAAATCAGGCAGAGAGCAGATAAATTTTTCGCTTTTTTTTTT